GCCACTGCACTCCAGTCTGGGCGACAGAGTGAGACTCCAACTTGGAAAAAAAAAAAGAAAAGAAAGTAAATTAGAAGGCTGGGCGTGATGGCTCATGCCTATAATCCCAGCACTTTGGGAGGCTGAGGTGAGAGGACTGCCTGGGTTTGAGATCAGCCTAGGCAACTTGGGGAGACCTTATCTCTACAGTAAATCAAAAAATTAACTGGGTGTGGTGGCGTGTGCCTGTAGTTCCAGCTACTTAGAAGGCTGAAGCGGAAGGATCACCAGAGCCCAGAAGGTTGAGGCTGCAGTGGCAGGGAGTGTGGCACTGCACTCCAGTCTGGGCGACAGTGAGAATCCAACTCAAAAAAAAAGAGAGAGTAAGTAAATTATAGAGAGAGGGAGAGAAAGGACTCACCTTAATGTAGGGGAGAGGGCCAAAGCTGAGGGGAAAATGGCCTGGCCAGAACTTAATGAAAGCAATGGCAAATGGCTGCTTGAGGTTGAAGGGTTTTTTTGCTGTTTTGTTTTTTTTTTTTTTTTTTTTGAGTTGCCCAGACTGGAGTGCAGTGGCACGCTCCCAGCCACCGCAGCCTCGACCTGCTGGGCTCCGGCGATCCTTCCGCTTCAGCCTTCCAAGTAGCTGGAACTACAGGTGTGTGCTACCACACCCGGCTAATTTTTTAAATTTATTGTAGAGATGAGGTCTCGCCAAGTTGCCCAGGTGGGTCTCGAACCCACGGGCTCAGGCAATCCACTCACCTCGGCCTCCCAAAGCGCTGGGATTATAGGCTGAGCCACCGAGCCCGGCCTGTTTTTTTTTTTTTTTTTTTTTTGAACCAAAATCTCACTCTGTTGCCCAGGCTGGTGTACAGTGGCATGCTTGCGGCCACCACAGCCTCGACCTGCTAGGCTCAGGCGATCCTTCCACCTCAGCCTTCCAAGTAGCTGGAACTACAGGTGTACAGTACCACGCCCAGCTAATTTTTTTATTTATTGTAGAGATGAGGTCTCACCAGGTTGCCTGAGCGGGTCTTGAACCCGCAGGCGCAGACAATTCACTCACCTCGGCCTCCCAAAGTGCGGGATTACAGGGTGAGCCACTGAGCCCAGCCTCGCCTCTGCCTTTCCAGTGGCTGGAACCACAGGCATGTGTCACCACACCGAGCTGATTTTTTTTTTAATTTATTGTGGAGACGAGGTCTCATCAAGTTGCCCAGGCTGGACTCAAACCCTAAGGCTCAGGCAATCCTCTCGCCTCCGCCTCCCAAAGTGCTGGGATTACAGGAGTGAACCACCGCGTCCGGCAGCATGAGTGCATGTAACTGAGTGCACATGTGTGTGGACTGGTACACGAATAAGTGTATGTCTTTGAGTGTGTAGCACCATGTGTGACTGTGTGCCTAGTGGGAGCGGCAATGAGAGATGCGTCTGTGAGTGTGTGTGTGTGTATAACTGTGTATGTACATACAAGTGTCTGAGCATGTATTTGTGGGTGGGCACAGGCACATATCCTATGTCTGAATGTGTCTGCATGCACACACCACGTGCACTGTGTGTCTGTGCACAATACACGCATGCATCTGTGTGTGTTTGTACACACAATATGCAACATGTGTCCGAATGTGTGCACAGATTGTGTGTGTGTGGATCTACATGTCTGAGCTCATATGTGCACACACCGCACGCGTGTGTGTGCACACCGGGTGCCAGGCTCTGTACCTTCACAGATCTCTGTGTCCTGCCGGAAGTTGAAGCCCTGGGCACAGGAGCAGCGGTAACTGCCGGGAGTGTTCTGGCACTGCCCGTTGTCACACAGGAGGCTGCTGCGGGCACACTCATCCACGTCTGTGGGGGTGGGAGGAGGGTGAGGAGTCTGCAGCCAGAGGCTGCCCCCTCACCCCCTTTCCACCCCTCCCCCACACCCCTGGCTGCCCCCTCACCTGTGCAGTCCCGGCCCGTGGCGCCCGCCTCAAAACCCGGCTTGCAGGCACAGCGGTACCCACCCCACAGGTTCTCACACACGCCGTTGGCACAGACCTCGGGGTCCAGGGCACACTCGTTGATGTCTGTGGCGGTAGGACGAGGTCAGTGACTGCCCAGTTCACTGGGGGTCTCCAGGAGTCAGACTCCCCCGCCAGAGCTCCAGCCCAGACCCTGCCTCGTGTCCCTCTAAGCCAGGGCTTCTCAGTTCTGCCACTGGTGACCTCTGGAACCAGATCATTCCTGACTATGGGACTTCCTGTGTATGGCAAGATGCCTCTACCCACTAGATGCCAGTAGCATCCTCCCTGGTCTTTCTCCAGACATTGCAAAATGACCCAAGTGGAGGAGGGGAGGTTGTCCCCAATTTGAAACCCATAGAGCAAACATCCGTACAGTGGCACCATAATAAAAACAAGAGCAATCCACACGTGGTGGCTCATGCCTGTAATCCCAGCAATTTGGGAGGCCAAGGTAAGAGGATCGCTTGAGCCCAGGCATTCGAGACCAGCTTAGACAACATAGTAAAACCCTATCTCTACAAAAAATAAGAAACCTAGCCAGGCGTGGTGGCACACACCTGTAGCCCCAGCTAGTAGGGAGGCTGAAGATCACCTGAGCCCAGGAGTTTGTGAGCTATGATCACGCCACTGCACTCCAGGCTGGGTGACAGAGCAAGACCCTGTCTCTAAGAAAAGGGGGAAGGGGCCTAGGTGCGGTGGCCCAAGCCTATAATCCCGGCACTTTGGAAGGCCGAGGCGAGAGGACTGTCTGAGCCCGTGAGTTCAAGGCCAGCCTGGGCAACATGGTAAGACCTCGTCTCTACAATAAATCAAAAAATTAGCTGGGCATGGTAGCACACGCCTCTAGTTCCAGCTACTTGGAAGGCTGAGGCAAAGGATCGCCTGAACCCAGAAGGTTGAGGCTGCAGTGGCCGGGAGTGTGCCACTGCACTCCAGCCTGGGTGACAGAGTGAGATTCCAACTCAAAAAAAGAAAAGGGGGAGGGGAAATTTGGACACAGACACGCATACAGGGAAAATACCACATGAGGATGAAGCCAGAGATCAGGGAGACACTTCTAGAAACCAAGGAACGCCAACAAGGACCAGCCTCCAGGAGCTGGGAAACAGCCTGAGGTCTCAGAAGGGACCCGTCCTGCCCATACCCTGATCTTGGACCTCTGGCTTCCAGAATGGTCCCAGAAGGAATTTCTGTTCCAAGCCACCCAGTCTGGGCACTCTGTCAACACAGCCCAAGCAAAGTCACAGGGTCCCCACCCACAGCACTGCCGACACCCCCGTACTGAGGGGCTGGGCCCCACGTACCTTGGCCGTCCATAGCGATGCCAAGGCCACTACTGCAGAGCACCTGAAACTCGGCTGGGAACGGAGACAGAGCAAGATGGGTTGGGCGCTTGGTCAAGGATGCGGTCCCTTGGTCATGGCAAGAGTCTGGGACTGAGAATCTCCTCCGCCGTTCACGGGGAGAGCAGCTCCCTTTGGTCTCTTCTTGGAGTGAGCCCCCACCCTGGGGAACCCTGTGAGAACCTATCGCAGGACGGAAGAGGCACTGGGGTTCGGGAGGACCCGACTGCTCACCAGAGCTCTTGGCGGGGCACAGCTGGCAGGGCTCTGCAAAGCCACGGGCCAGGCTGGAACAGCAGCATTCGGACTTGGTGATGGCACCAGGGAAGGGCTGGGTGCAGGAGCCCCTCTCGACGGCCTTGTAGCACGTGCCACGCAGGTGGGTGTCCACACACACGTGGCCATCCGGGCCCACCACCAGCCCCGCCGGGCATTGGCAGCGGAAGGAACCCTCGGTGTTGGCGCAGTGGCCATTCCCACAGATGCCGGGCGTCTGGCACTCGTCGATGTCTGCAGGGCAGTGGCAGCCCTGGGATGGGTCCCAGCCGCCCTGTCTTCCTGGCTGGTCTCCTCTGTGCCCTCCTTTTCCAGCTCTGGGTCGTTTCCTTCCATGTTGTCTCTCCTCATCTTCCTCCCTCCCTATTCCCCTGTTTTCTTTCCTTCCTTCTTTCAACAATTTTTTTTTTGTTTTGAGTTGGAGTCTTACTCTGTCACCCAGGCTGGAATGCAGTGGCACACTCACAGCCACCTCAGCCTTGACCTGCTGGCCTCAGGTAATCCTTCTGCCTCTGCCTTCCAAGTAGCTGGAACAAGTGCGCACCACCATGTCCAGCTAATTTTTTGATTGATTGTAGAGACAAGGTCTCACCAAGTTGCCCAGGCTAGGCTTGAACCCCTGGGCTCAGGCTATCCTCTCTCCCCCCTGCCTCTGCCTCCCAAAGTGCTGGGATTGTAAGCGTGAGCCACCGC